AGTTCTCTACATGACCCTTTTTTTGGGCACCCTAAGCATGAGGGGCCGCCTTCGCATCGTAACCCCAGAAGGGACCGTAATGTAGAGAAGTGGCCATAGAGGGCTTATCATTACGGCAGGGGGGGCCGGAAAGCCGAAGAGGATGCTTGGACCCCTATAGGGCTTACGCAGGGTTTAGGGCTTAAGGTTTAGGATGACAGGGTCTTGGGGTTTTTAGGGCTTTAGGGTTTTAGGGTTTAGGGTTGCGGGGTTTAGGGCTTTACGGGGTTTTAGGGCTTTAGGGCTCCGTGCACCTCAACGTTGCCTAATGGTTCTACGCCCTACAAACACTAACCACAGCGTCGTTCATATGCCGTAGAAGCCGCTCTTCCACCGCAACATCTTGCTCAGGTATCCGCTCTTCCACCGCAACATCTTGCTCAGGTATGTTGAAGTGGAGTACCAGCAAGCATGCTGGGTCATTCTCAACCCATCTTTCCACTTCTGTGTAGTAGTGGCTCTCAAGAGGCTGCAACCTTGAAAGGTCCTCATCAGCAGGGGAGTCTTGTAGCAGCGGTTCCACGAAGTTGGGCGTGTACCTTATGTTTGGAACTGTTTACCGGGTTGTGTCCGATGTGCCACAGTCCCTGAAGATTTTCTTCTTGCCACACCGTTGCGAGAAGACCCAAGGCTCCCCAGGCACCCACCCGAAACCCTAAACCCTAAACCCTAAACCCTAAACCCTAAACCCGAAACCCTAAACCCTAAACCCGAAACCCTAATTCCTAAACCTGAAAGCCGACACCCCTAAACCCTGCATCCCTTACAGGGCCTCCTTTCAAGCCGATACGCTCCATAATCAAGCCGAAGTCTACTAGCCCTGATCCCTAAAACCCTAAACCTTAGACCATGCCTTAACCCCAAAGCCTTAAACTCCCAAACCCCCCTAAAGCCCCAAAACCCCGAGCCCTGCGCCTGCAAAAAGCCCTTCATCCCTACAGCCTGAAACCCCCGAAACCCTTAGAACCAATCCCTGAAATTCCTAAAAGCCCTTAAAACCCCTAAACTCCCTAAAACCCCTAAAACCCCTAAAACCCCTAAAACCACTGAAATCCCTAAAAAGACCCTGAAAACCCAAGAATCCCTTAATCCCCGAAAACTCTAACGCCCCAGAGCCCTATAAACCTGCAAAGTACGTGCTTGGTCCTTGCAGTGGTTCCCTACATGGTAGCTTGAGGCCCGAAGTCACCCTAAACCCTAAACCCTAGACCCTAAACCCTAAACCCTAAACCCTAAACCCTAAACCCTAATCTGGGCCTTGATCTTCTCGGCCTCTGCCGCCATCTGCGACGCGTCGCGCAGGCGCTTCCTTGGGGGCTTCGGGGCTTGGGGGCTTCGGGGGTTCGTGGGTTTAGGGGATTAGTTTAAGTAGGGTTTAGGGTTTAGGGTTTGGGGTTTAGGGTTTAGGGTTTAGGGTTTAGGGTTTAGGGTTTAGGGTTTAGGGCTTAGGGCTTCGGGTTTAGGGTTTAGGGTTTAGGGTTTAGGGATGTTCCCCCTTATACTAGGGGGCTTCGGGGTGTCGTAGGGGTGAACGTTGGGATGTTCCCCCATAGGCCCATAGACTAACAGTCCTTAATAGAGACCATAATAGGGGGTACCATAATTTCAACTCACTAAGTACAACGCGGAGCATCCCAAGTTTAGGGTTTGGGGTTGTGAGGCTTGGTGTTTAGGGGCCTAATTAAGTAGGGTTTAGGGCTTCGGGGTTTAGGGTTGTGAAGTTTGGGCTTTTAGAGTTTGGGGTTTAGGGTTTGGGGTTTGGGGTTTAGGGTTTAGGGTTTAGGGTTAGGGGTTTAGGGTTTGGGGTTTAGACTAAGACTAGGGGTTTCATGTAAGTAGGGGTTAGGGAACCCTGAATGGGTAAACCCTACACCCTGAACATCCCAAACCTAAACCCTAAACCCTAAACCCTGAACCCTAAACCCTAAACCCTAAACCCCAGACCCTAAACCCTAAACCCCGACCTGCATCTTTTTCAGTCCCCCAGCTCACGGAAACCCCGAAAGCCGTATCCAAGAGCCCTTAAACCCTAAACCCCTAACCCCTAAACCCCAAACCCCGAAACCCGAAACCCGACACCCTAAACCCTAAACCCTAAACCCTGAACCCTCCACGTCTGGCGGCTGCTTGTTGATCTCGTTCATGGAGGCAACCACCTGCGAACGCATCTTCGGGATTTGGGATTAAGGGTGAAGGGCTTAGGGTTTAGGGTTTTAGGGTTTAGGGTTTAGGGTTTAGGATTAAGGGTTTAGGGTTTAGGTTTTGGGGCTTAGGGTTTAGGGCTTGGGGATTTGGGGCTTAGGGTTTCGGGAGAAGCTTCGGGCGTAGGGCGTAGGGCTTAGGGCCTAGAGGTGTAGAGCTTAGGGCTTCGTGCTCTGAAACTAAACCCCAACTTTGTTCTCTTGTCCTGCAGACCTTTACTAGAAAGAGCCGAAGGTAAGACAACAGCATTTCCAAGATCCAGAAGTTAATTAAATGATCTTTGTGCGCTCGCAAAGTTCATGCAATTTCACTATGAATCATGTGTTCCTTTAGCAAAGGCATCATCCAAAGCACAGAAAACCCTACTCCCTAAACTCTAAACGCTGCAAACCACACAGAAAACTCAACAGCCTGAAGCATTAACTCCTAACGCCCAAAACCCCAAGCCCTAAAGCACAAAGAACCAAATCCTGAGCCGCGAAGCCCTCAGCCCCTAAAACGTGAATGGGACCAAAGAAAAAAAAACCGCAACAAACCCCCCCCCCCCCCCTATAGAGGTTGTACCCTTGGGTTTTGGGGTCCCTTTTCAAGGATCCCTAAGGGAATATAAGGGCCATATTGGGAGTATATGAAGGGGCAGTTTTAGGGGTACAACCTTAGGGGTACGAGTCTTCATCCCTTGACCACCCCCCCCCCCCACACCCTAAACCCTAAACTCCCCTGAGCCCTGAACCCTAGCCCTAAACCCTAAACCCTAAACCCTAAAACTCCCTAAACCGTAGCAAGGGCTCCCTGCCTCAGAGTTGGGGGACACCTCGGTCACCAGGGCCTTGTTGATGGCGAAGCCTGGGGGGGCGGGGCTTCAAGGGCTTGTTGGTCTTTAGGGTTTAGGGTTTAGGGTTTAAAGTTTAGGGTTTGGGGCTAGGGTTTAGGGTTTAGGGGTCCAGAGCTAAAAAGCCCTTTGGATTCAGGGCTTAGGGTTGAGGGTTGAGGGCTTAGGTAGGGTCTAGGGTTCAGGGTATAAATGTCTAGGTGGAGATGTTTTTCTGGTTTGGAGAGCTTACGGTCGAGGCTTCTGCATAAGGGATGTGTCTAAGCTGCCACATTAGCCCTAAACTCTAAACCCTAATCCCTAATCCCTAAACCTTAAACCCTAAACCCTAAACCCTAAACCCTAAACCCTAAACCCTAAACCCTAAACCCTAAACCCTAAACCCTAAACCCTAAACCCTAAACCCTAAACCCAGAACAAACCGAGGGCATCCCAACCTTTGCAAAGAAGTTCTGATGGTGCTGCGGCCCAAACCCTAAACCCTAAACCCTAAACCCTAAACCCCAAACCCCAACCCTAAACCCGAAACCCTAAAACCTTCATTAAGGGTCAGGGTTTTTAAATTTCCCCCCCCCCCCCGCCCGAACTACCAAACCCTAAACCCTAAACCCTAAACCCTACACCCTAAACCCTAAACCCTAAACCCTAAACCCTACACCCTAAACCCTAAACCCTAAACCCTAAACCCTAAACCCTAAACCCTAACCCCCTAAACCAGAGCCGGGATGCCGAAGTTCGCCATCTCCGTGCTCAGCTTCTTCTGGACGGCGTCCGAGATGTCATCCTTTTGAGGGTTTAGGCTTTAGGGTTTAGGGTTTCGGGCTTAGGGTTTGGGGCTCAGGGTTTCGTACTCCTAAGGTTGTACCCCTAAAGGTTCGCCTGAATGTACTCCTCATATATGGCCCTTCTACCACCTTAAGGACCTCAAAAAAGGGTCCCGAAACCCTAAGGGTACCCTAAACCCTAAACCCTAAACCCCAAAGGTATAACCTTAGGGGGAGTCCCATGAGGTTTAAGGGCTGTCAAGGGACGAAAGAAGGGACCCTCACAAGGGACCTTCGTGGCTCCTTAGGGGGTTATTTACGGGCTACTCAGGTATATAGGGCCTTTTACATGGTATATACAAGGACTATGTAGCGCTTAGAGTTAGAGGTGTTCAGGGTCTAGGGTTTGGGGTTTGGGGTTTGGGGTTTAGGGCTTAGGGTTTAGGGTTTAGGGTTTAGGGTTTAGGGTGAGAGCCTTCTTCTCGAAGGACTCGTCCAGCGTCATCTGCGGGATGAAGGAGCCTTTTTGCAACCATTCGGCAAACCCTAAACCCTAAACCCTAAACCCTAAACCCCAAACCCTAAACCCTAAGTGCTCGGTTTGGTGTTCGGTTGAGTCTCCAACCCCCAAACCGTTTTGAAGGGAAGGACGTGGGAGCAAGAGCCATGGCTGAACTCTTTGCACCGACTGGGTTTAGGGTTTAGGGTTTAGGGTTTAGGGTTTAGGGTTTAGGGTTTAGGGTTTAGGGTTTAGGGTTTAGGGTTTAGGGTTTAGGGTTTAGGGTTTAGAGTTTAGGGTTTAGGGTTTAGGGTTTAAGGTTTAGGGTTTCGGGTCTCAAGGGAACCTGAAGGCAAACCGCTTCCCCAGGCGCTTTCTGGGGGGGATGGCGGCGTAGTGCTTAAAGAAAAGGTGTGTCGGGCATCAAGGTACTACGGGGGCCTTATTAATTGGAATAGGGTTTGGGGGTCATTTTCTAGTATCCTTACAAAGCGACATAAGGGAATACTATTAGTAATTCTTCGGACCCCTATATTCCACTGCCATTGGGATAGCTGCCCGGAACCCTGAACCCTGATCTCGAAACTTTAGACCGCGAAGTGTTAGGATTCACACACTTGTTTGACCATTGCGGACAGCAACTTACCTCCCGATTCCTACCTGCCTATCCTTCTGTACACAGGATGAAGCGAGCAAGGGCACCCTCAGTGGCCTTGCGGCTCAGTTTTTCGCACAGATCACCCAGAGCATGACTACTTGGAAGGTCCAGGACCACGATCAGGACTCCTCGTGCTTTCGGGTCCTTCGGCTTCTTCATCCAAGCTCCAAGGTGGTGCTCCAAGCTCCCCTCCTCTGGAGGCGACGACTGGTTGCCTTCATAAACCAGCGCTTGCTCAGTGAAGCGGAGAACCATCAGGTGCCACCGCAGCAACTTGGCCGTGAATGCCAGGAGAGGTTGGGGCAAGCTTCCTTCCACGTCGACAGGTAAGCCGCAGGACAGGCGCAGCTGCACGTGTGCCATCCGGACGATGTCCTCTTGGCTTGGGAGTGGGCTCAGCAACTCCTCACGCTCAACATCGACACGGAACGCTTCTTGCATCACCTCGTTGGACATGGCCTTCCTCTCCAATTTCCACTCCAGCGTGGCTGCACTCAGAAGCAGCTGCCGGAGCACAGCGGCACCAGACCGTGCGTGCTTGTCATTTATATGGAGTGCGTTCTGCAATTCTCCGCTGAAGTCCGCAGGGAACGGCAGAAGGGTCGGGTCGAGCGAAAAGCCAGGGCAGTCGACGACTCCCCCTTGTATGCTTCTGCACAGCAGAACGAGCGGCGCCGGAAGGCGTGATACCCGTTGAGTCGCGCAGGCCCGTGCTACGTCAAGCCAGTGCTGGCACAGCTCATGCTTGAACGTCTTCAAGCCAGGAAAGTTTTGCAGCAAGGCTAAGTTGAACATGTTCCACTCCTCTGCTATCGACACAAGGCGTGAGTAGACCTCCATGAACTTGATGGAGGCCACGCCGTCTGAGACCCCCCAACTCTCGAGTAAGGGCATCGACTGGAGATGATCTACCTCCGGCGCCGTCAGGGGAGTCCAGGATCTGTTGAACCTCGCGGAACTGGGATTGAAGGCTTCGTCAGCCATGGCCGCCAGATGCTTTCGGCACAGCTCAAAGCCATCGCGCACCACGAGCACAATTCCTGAGTCCCGGCGCAACCTAGACCCGTTCCTGTTCAAGGAGGGGGGGGGCAGGTGGAGTTTCATACAAGAGAACCCAAGCCCTACATGCAAAAAGGGAACTAAAGGCCTTGTCCCAGGTTCGCCCATGGGCACGCGCAAGTTCGGAGCTCTTGCTCTCGACCTGCTTGGAGTCGTCGAAGATGTCGAAGAAGAACCAGCCAACGCCCAGCTCGGCCTTCAAGGCATCTTCCACATCTTCCAAGGTGGCATCCGCTGGCAAACCGTCTACGTGGCACAACGCTTCCCCTGCCAGGCTGTAGCAGTCGACCGTGATGCCTGAAGTGTCACTGCGAACCAGAGCCGTCAGGGAACTGCCGGCCACAACCTGCATCATGCCTACACGAACGCAGAAGTTGTCCGAGATGTGTTCGAGCCTCAACGCCAGCATCAGGTGTTGCAAAGGCAAAGGGTCTCGCCCTGAGCGTTTGTACGCCCTGAAAAAAACCTTAAACCCTATACTCGCTTGTCACACCCTAAACCCGAAACCTTAAAACCCTGAACCCGAAAACCCTAAACACTGAACCCTAAAACCCTCAACCTAAACCCCAAAAACCCTCGACCCTAAAACCCTCAAACCTTGAACCTTCCCAAGCCTAGTTTTGGGGTTAACCTTCCCAAGCCTACCCCAAACCCTAAACCGTAAACCCAAAACCCTAAACCCCTAGGGAGTAGGGTTTAGGGTTTAGGGTTTAAGGTTTAGGGTTTAGTTTGGGTTAGATTTGGGGGCCCGGCCTGCGGGCCTTGAGATGCTTTAGGGCCGAGAGGGGCCTGGGACCTTCAAGCCCCAGGCCATACTTGGAGGTTCATGGTTCTTTATAACTGGGTGTAAGGATGTTTAAGTTCAGGGACACCCTAATCCCTCATCCCTAAACTCTAAAGCCTAAAAACCCTAAACCCTAAACCCTAAACCCTAAACCCTAAACCCTAAACCCTAAACCCTAAACCCTAAACCCTAAACCCTCACGAACCGGTAGAAGGCCAGAAGGCCTGGAACTCTGGAGCCCTAGTTGGCGATTCATGGTACTTATTCACCAGTTATACTTATAACCCACTTATGAGCTCCTTAAGTGCCCTAATACGGTTATAATTACAGTTATCAGTGGTTAAACCCTAAACCCTAAACCCCTAAACCCTAGACCCTAGACCCTAAACCCTAAACCCTAAACCCTAAACCCTGAACCCCTAAACCCTAGACACTAGACCCTAAACCCTAGACCCTAAACCCTAAACCCTAAACCCTAGGAGTAAACAGGGTGCCCTTCTTGGTTTAAAGGGGATTATAAGGGAACCTAAAGCCTCAAAGAAGGGAATAAGGGCCTGCTCTGGGTCCACTGCCTTTGAGATAGCTCCCTGAAACCCCGAACCTTAGGCCCTCTGCGTAGTGTCAGGATTCACACACTTGCTTGGCCATTGCGGACAGCAACTTACCTCCCGACTCGATGCCTACCTGCCTATCCTTCTGTACACAGGATGAAGCGAACAAGGGCACCCTCAGTGGCCTTGCGGCTCAGTTTTTCGCACAGATCACCCAGAGCATGACTACTTGGGAGGTCCAGGACCACGATCAGGACTCCTCGCATCTTCGGGTCCTTCGGCTTCTTCATCCAAGCTCCAAGGTGGTGCTCCAAGCTCCCCTCCTCTGGAGGAGACGACTGGTTGCCTTCATAAACCAGCGCTTGCTCAGTGAAGCGGAGAACCATCAGGTGCCACCGCAGCAACTTAGCTGTGAATGCCAGGAGAGGTTGGGCCACGCTTCCTTCCACGTCCACAGGAACCAGGCCGCAGGACAGGCGCAGCTGCACGTGCGCCATCCGGACGATGTCCTCTTGGCTTGGGAGTGGGCTCAGCAACTCCTCACGCTCAACATCGACACGAAGCGCTTCGTGCATCACCTCAGTTGAAATGGCCTTCCGCTCTTCTTCCCATTCCAGCGAAGCCGCACTCGCAAGCAGCGACCGCAGCGCTTTGGCACCAGACCTTGCGTCCATGTCCAGTATATGGAGTGAGAACTGCAAGTCTCCGCTGAAGTTCAAAGGGAACCGACAACTGATCGGGTCGATCGAAATACAAGGCGAGCCGTCGGCGACAGCCCCACAGTTATTTCTGCACAGCAGCAGCAGAACGGGCGGAACAGGAAGGTGTGATACGTGCTGAGTCGCGGAGACCCGTGCTACGTCAAGCCAGTGCTGGCACAGTTCATGTTTGAAAGTCTTCAAGCCACCGTCGAAATTCTGAAGCAAGGCCAAGTTGAACATGTTCCACTCCTCTGCTATCGACACAAGGCGTGAGTAGACCTTCATGAACTTGATGGAGGCCACGCCGTCTGAGACCCCCAAACTTTCGAGTAAGGGCACCAACTGGGCGGTAGGTACCTCCGGTGCTTCGTTGGGAATCCAGGATCTGTTGAACTTCGGGGACCTGGGATTGAAGGCTTCGTCATCCATGGCCGCCAGATGCTTTCGGCACAGTTCAAAGCCATCGACGCGCACCCTGAGCACGATTCCTCAGACGTGGCATAACTTCGGTAGACCCGCTACTGTGCAAAGGGAGGGCTTTCACATAGGAGATCCAATAGGTTATAAGCACTGAGCCCTACATGCAAAAAGAGAGAGTTGAAGGCCCACTCTCTCTGGGGTCCGAGGTTCGCTTATGGGCACTCGCAAGCTCAGAGCTCTTGCTCTCGACCTTCTCTCCGGAGTCGTCGAAGATGTCGAAGAAGAACCTGCCAACGCCCAACTCCGCCTTCAAGGCACTTTCAACATCTTCCAGGCTGGCGTCGGCTGGCAAACCGTCTACGTGGCACAACGCTTCCCCTGCCAGACTGTAGCAGTCGACCGCGATGCCTGAAGCGTCACTGCAAACCAGGGCCGCCAGGGAACTGCCGGCCACAATCTGCATCATGCCTGCACGAGCGCAGACATTGTCCGAGCTATGCTCGGGCCTCAACGCCAGCAGCGGTGAGGTGTGGCGAAGGCAACCTAAGCCCTAATTGTTTGTTCCAGCCTACCTAAACCCTAAACCCTAAAACCCAAAACCCAAAACCCAAAACCCAAAACCCAAAACCCTAAACCCGAAACCCTAAACCCTAAACCGTAAACCCTAATCCTTCCCAAGCCCTCCCTCAGAGACGAGCTTGCTGCGCGAACATGCAAAGCACATGCACAGCGAAGCAAGGTGGACTCAGGAGCCTCTGAGACTTCGCGACAGACAGGGTTTAGGGTTTAGGGTTTAGGGTTTAGGGTTTAGGGTTTAGGGTTCAGGGTTCAGGGTTCAGGGTTCAGGGTTTAGGGTTTAGGGTTTAGGGTTTAGGGTTTAGGGTTTAGGGTTTAGGGTTTAGGGTTTAGGGTTTAGGGTTTAGGGTCTAGGGCTATGAGGCTTCGGGATGAGGGTATGAAGGCTTAGGGTTTAAGGTCTGTCTATAGGGTTTTGGTGAAAAGCCTCTAAAACCCAAGAAGTGGCAACATGAAATCATCTCAAACGGAACCCAGAGACTCCAATGCCCCTTCAGTAAGGAATTCGGGTTTAGTGTTTAGGGTTTAGGGTTTAGGGTTTAGGGTTTAGGGTTTAGGGTTTAGGGTTTAGGGTTTAGGGTTTAGGGTTTAGGGTTTCGGGCTTAGGGTTTAGGGTTTAGGGTTTAGGGTTTAGGGTTTAGGGTTTAGGGTTTAGGGTTTAGGGTTTAGGGTTTAGGGTTCCTAAACCCTAAACCCTAAACCCTAAACCCTACACCAAGGGTGGAGGGGCTCAAGAGACGGGCAACGCACGACGTCCGCCACGTAGGACTCGATCTGCTCGTGCACGTTGTCAAGCTTGTACCTCTCCAGGACATCGACAACCCTCAACCCTTGGTGTAGGGTTTAGGGTTTAGGGTTTAGGGTTTAGGGTTTAGGGTTTAGGGCTTAGGGTTTAGGGTTTAGGGTTTAGGGCTTAGGGTTTAGGGTTTAGGGTTCTGAGGGTTGATGGTTTAGGGTTTAGGGTACCTCTCCAGGACATCGGCAACCCTCCCTTCCCCAACCTCCCCCCCCCCCGCAACAAGAAACATAACAATAAGAACAAGAAAATGTTCATAAAAATAATACCAACAATAGACACAACACTAATGATAATAAGAATAAGAATAATAAGAATAATAAGAATAATAAGAATAATAAGAATAATAAGAATAATAAGAATAATAAGAATAATAAGAATAATAAGAATAATGAGAATAATATTAATCATAGCAATCATGATAATGACAAAAATAATGACAATGAAATAATTTTGTAATAATGCCAATAGTAATATAGTAAGAATAACAAGAAGAATGCAAATAGGGATGTTCCAGACTCTGTTGGGCTTCGGCAACTTGAGATGTGCCTTCATGAAGATGTCTCTGGCGGCTTAGCATGATGTGGTTTCTGACAGTTTCCGGGTCTTGGAGGTCTTTAGGGGTTAGGGGTTAGGGTTTAGGGTTTAGGGTTTAGGTTTTAGGGTTTAGGGTTTAGGGTTTAGGGTTTAGGGTTTTGAAGTAACGTCTGAGGATCATAGGCCCGAAAGTTTACAGGAGGACTCAATGGCTGAAGGGTGCCGACGGCACGTTTTTGGGGCACCCTAAACCCTAAACCCTAAACCCTTAACCCTAAACCCTACACCCTAAATCCTAAACCCTAAACCCTTCACCGTAAACCCTAAACCCTAAACCCTAAACCCTAAACCCTAAACCCTAAACCCGGGCACATTGCAAGCTCCGTGTACTCGGGCATCACCGACTGTTGCACCGCAACCTTCCTTGGGAATCCATCTTGCTAGTGTTCAGGTGTGTTCGGGCTTAGGACCCTAAACCCTAAGCCCTAAACCCTAAACCCCTAACCCCTGAACCCCTTAACCCCCCAAACCCCGAAAAACCCTAAACCCTAAGCCCGAGACCCTGAACCCCTATCCGTTTATTCAGCACATGTTCTTTTTATGTCTCTAGATACATGTAGTGTTGTGGCTTCTCTCTGAGTCGTACCTGCACTGAAGCAGCACAAAGCCACAGGGGAGGAGGGCTCCAGGGTTTAGGGTCTAGGGTGCCAGGGCTGAGGGCCTCAGAAGCCCCGAACCCTAAAGCCTAAACCCTAAGCCCTAAACCCTAAACCCTAAACCTCCATGGTTTGAGGCTGATGGGTAGTTTTTTAGGTTCAGGGACTTGGGATTTCAGAAGTGCTGGTGTTTAAGATGACCTTGCTTCAAGGGACTAAAGGAGGGACCCTTATCAGAGACCTTAGGGGTTATTTAGGGATTATTTGGGGGCTACTTAGGTATACAGGGACTATCCCAGGTATATATAGCGGTTGAAAAAGGGAAGAAAAGATTAAGGGTCTCTTCTAGGGATTTCACCTTTTACCTCCTAATGGTTTGTTAAGTGTAGGCTTTATTAGTTTAGGGCTGGGTTGAGGACTTTCATGTAGCCCTAAACCTAAACTCTAAATGCCAAGCCAAGGAGTGCCTGAAACACCAGTAGCTCCAAACCCTGAGGGTGTGTAGGGTTTAGGGTGGAGGTTGTTTAGGGTTTAGGGTTTAGGGTTTAGGGTTTAGGGTTTAGGGTTTAGGGTTTAGGGTTTAGGGTTTAGGGTTTAGGGTTTAGGGTTGAGGGTTGAGGGTTGAGGGTTGAGGGTTGAGGGTTGAGGGTTGAGGGTTGAGGGTTGAGGGTTTTGATTTTTAGGGCTAAACAAAAGCCAGGGATTCGATCAACGATTCTTTACCTGTACGCTCTGTCCACCATGGCAGGACGAGGCATGCGCAAGGGGGCATCGGATCCCCTCGGCTCTACTTGGAGGTTCATGGTACTTACTAACCAATTATAACTGTACTTATAACCCTACTTTTCATACCCCTAAAGGGCCGAATATCACAATTATAAGTAGAATTATAAGCCCAGTTATAAGTGGTTAGTAAGTACCATGAACCTCCAAGTAGACCCAAAGCCCTAAACCCAAAAACCCGTAAAGCCTGTAAACCCTATACCCTATAAACCCTATACCCTCTAAACCCTAAACCCTAGATCCTAGACCCTAAACCCTAAACCCGAAACCCTAAACCCTAGCCAGAAAACCCTAAACACCCAAAAGGATTAGACTCCCATCTTCGGGAGCAGCCGAGCTGCACGTGCACGAAAACGTTGTCCTGGACTGCGGGTTCGGGAGATCATGGGCTGCGTCGGGCTGGAGTTGAAAAGTTTGGGTTTAGGGTTTAGGGTTTAGGGTTTAGGGTTTAGGGTTTAGGGTTTAGGGTTTAGGGTTTAGGGTTTAGGGTTTAGGGTTTCGGGTTTCGGGTTTGGGGTTTGGGGTTTGGGGTTTTGGGGTTTAGGGCTTAGGGCTTAGGGTTTAGGGTTTAGGGTTTAGGGTTTCTAGTTTCTAGGGTGTAGAGTTTCGGGTTTCGAGTTCTAGTGTATGGGGTTTATAGGGTTTGTAGGGCTTATAGGGTTTTCAGGGTTTATAGGGTTTGTAGGCGTATAGGGTTTATAGGGTTTTAAGGGTTTCGGGGGGCTTCGTCAGGCTCACAGCAGCTGAGAGATCCCCAAAGGCACCAGCTAGGTTAAACACCTCGACAGCGGGCCTGAGACCCTCCTGCCCGACGAAAGAGAAGACACAAAGCCATCTAAGACCCTAAACCTAAGCCCTAAACCCTAAGCCCTAAGCCCTAAGCCCTAAACCCCTAAGCCCTAAGCCCTAAACCCTAAACCCTAAACCCTAAACCCTGAACAAAACAAAGTAGGGTTTAGGGGGGTAGTCCTTCGTCTTGGTGGAGACGTTCACCATGTTCTGCTCAGTACGGCTGGTAATCGAGCGAAAGCCGATACAGCAGCCTCAAGACACAAATGGGGGGGGGGGGGGGGGGGGCTAGGGGTGAGAGTTTAGGGTTTAGGGTTTAGGGTTTAGGTTTTAGGTTTTAGGGTTTAGGGTTTAGGGTTGTACGATAAAAACATAAAAAGGGTGTGGGAAAGACAAAATCGGGAATAGGGTTTAGGGCTTAGGGCTTAGGGCTTAGGGTTTAGGGTTTCGGGTTTAGGGTTTGGACAAAAAAAGGGTGTAGGGTAAAACAAAGCAGCCTCCGCTGCTGTGGAGTGAGAGTGGGTGTGTGTTGTGTTTAGGCGTTGGGATGTTCCCCCTTATACTAACAGTCCTTAAAAGGGATGATACCCCATTACAATCCCTACTAAGGACTGTTAGTATAAGGGGGAACATCCCAAGGGTTGGGGTTCAGAGGGTTCTGGGGGTTTGGGGTTGACGAATTCTACCGGAGTTCGGCTTGGGCGCTGCTGGCGGTGTTTAAGATTGGGGCTGATAGGTTGGGAGGTCAGGGTTCAATCTGAACCCTGAGCGCAACGGTAGAGCCCTCAGAGCTGTTGCGTCAGAAGTCAGAGGGTTTGGGGAGCTTAGCATTTAGGGCCTAAAGCCCCCCCCCCCCCCCCATTGTTGTTTACCCTACTTTGGAGTAGACCCTGGGAAAAAGTATATACTTCTCAGGTATAAGTAGCTTAGTAGGAACCCAAAACCAAAAAACCTACTAACGTATAGTACTCCAAAACCCAGTTGAAGGCTAGCTGAAGTTCAGGAAGTCAGTTCCCCGACCCGCACCGGTTCATGCTACTTAATAAGCAATTATAACTGTACTTATAACCCACTTTTCAGCCCTCTAAGTGCCCGAAAAAGTTTATAAGTACAGCTTAATCAGTACCATGAACCTCCAAGTAACCCTAAACCTCTGGTAGCCCAGCAAACGACAAGGATTTCAAGAAGGGTTGGCGAGGCCTCCAGCTGCTGGGGCAACGCGCGCATTGTGCCGCCACAAGTTGCCCTAAACTCTAACCCTGAACCCTAAACCCTGAACCCTAAACCCTGAACCCTAAACCCTAAGCCTAGACTGGGTCTACAACAACGTACAGCTCTACAACAACGTACAGCCCCTAACCTCGGCCCCCAGGCCCCCCCCCCACAACAACGCAAGCCTTCCAATCCCCCAACCCCACCCTCGACGCCAAAACCCGGCAATCCCATAAGAAAGGGCCCTGAATAATAGAACAGGGTTTTGGGGGGGTATTCTAGTACAAGCACAAAGGGACTAGAAGGGAATGCTAGTAATCCCGGGCCCTATAGGACCCCCACGCCAAAACCTAAACCTACACCTACTTAACATTCTTGAGACGACCCTAAAAACCCTAAACCCAAAACCCTAAACCCTAAACCCTAAACCCTAAACCCTAAACCCTAACCCTAAACCACACAGAGCCAGGCCACCACAACAGTCCAAGCCAACTGTGGCCAGGCCTCTAGCAGATTGTGAGGGGAGGGGTTTCAGGGCTTGCAGGCTTCAACAAGCAGCCTAAACGCTCAACCAAACCCTAAACCCTAAACTCAAGGCCTGGGCCGCCCCCCTACAGTTGGGGGGCGGCGCCTAAGCTCCTCGACCTCGATGGCGGAAGCCGACCCAGGTCGTTCGCCCGCCTCCCACAGCTCGGAAGTCGGCAGCACGATGGGCCCGGTACCGGAGCACGTTCTCCTTAGTACTGGTCCCTTATTAAAGTCAACACCCTAAACCTGGAGCTCCAAGCTCCGTGAGGCCCGCCGTTGGCTTCCTGCAAACCCCCCCCCCCCCCTGCACCCCTCAAAAATCAGTCTGCCCGACCCCTCGCCTGGCCCCCACCTGGCGCCGCTCTGAAACCTTGCTGCGCCCAAGTTTTGAGAAGTGGGCTGTTGTCTGAGTTTGGGCCTAAACCCTGAAAGGAATAGGTTTGGGTGGCTTTGCCGCCTTGGACGGCGTGGGGTGGGAGAAAAGTGTTAGATGGCCCTCCACAATTGGGCCAATGCTGCTTTTCGCACCTCACGAAGCTGAGCTTGTTCCGAAACCTAACCTTCACAGCGTCTACGCCCTATCACAGCAAACCCCAAACCCCAAACCCTAAACCCTAAACCCCAAACCCTAAACTCTAAACCCTAAACCCTAAACCCTAAACCCTAAACCCTAAACCCTAAACCCTAAACCCTAAACCGCAGGGCTGAGGGCTTCGGGCATAAGGGCATCCGAAACTGCTTCAAACAGCAAGCTTCCGAGGGCTGAGGGACCCCCCCCCCCGCCTCAGAAATATGAATACTCGAGCTTGGGATGTTCTCCCTTATACTAGCTATCCTTATAGGGTTTAGGGTTTAGGGTTTAGGGTTTAGGGTTTAGGGTTTAGGGTTTAGGGTTTAGGGTTTAGGGTTTAGGGTTTAGGGTTTAGGGTTTAGGACCCCATACCGTAATCCCTACTAAGGACTGTTAGTATAAGGGGGAGCATCCCAAACGAGAGCTCGTAACCCTTAAGAGTCCTGCAGTTTAGGGGTTAGGGTTTAGTGTGTAGGGTGCAAGCTGGAAACAGCCCTCAAAAGCCTCCAAACCCGCAAAGCCCTGCAAACTCTACACCCTAAACCCTAAACCCTAAACCCCTAGCAAAAAACCCAAAATCTCTGGCTTGGGTGTGCCAGGGATCAGTTGTTGCTTCGGGGCTCTTGGGTGTTTGAGCGTCCTGAGCGGAAATCTACAGTTGTTTCGGGGCATGGGTGCTTGGTGCCTTGTGGAGATATGGGCTTTTGAGCATTCAGGGTGTAGTGTCTCTAAACCCTACTAATTAACCCCAATAATCCGGCTAAGCCTCAAACCCTACTACAACCCGGCAGCCCCAGACCTTGCACAACTAGAAAAAACGCATTCGGCGCCCTGCGGGGGTTCAGAATTCCAGGGGTTTAGGGTCTACGTTTTAGGGTGTAGGGTTTAGGGCAGCCCCCAAATCCTAACCTAAACTGGCTACACATCTACAATCTCTATAACACCCGCTAAAGGCCCCTTCAACACAAAGCTACACCCAAAAAACACAAAGCTTGACCCCAATATACCGAATCCTAAACCCCAAACACCCCAAAATGAAGGAGCCCTTTTCCCTAAACCCAGCTTTTTGTCCTGAAACCCAAACCCGTGGAATGCCTGGCTTGAGCATGTGCGAGAACTTTCCGAACTTCTCCACGGCATAGTACCTTGGGGCAACGCCGCCGGACAGCCCTGGAGTTCAAAACATCTCTACACGCCGAACTCCACAACCCCAAAACTCCTTTAGGGTTTTGGGTTTCGGGTTTAGGGTTTAGGGTTTAGGGTTCGGGGAGGGTAGCCTTCAGGCTTTAGGGTTTGCTAGATCATGGTTGGGAAAGTATTGAAAATTGAAATGTCTATTCCTTCTTCAGTTTAAGCACCCTTAAACATGTAAAATGTTCCACCACTATGACAAAAGTTTTGGGTTTGGGGTTTAGGGGGGGGGTTTGGGGTTTAGGGTGCTTCGCTTTACACCGGGTCTCAGTGTAGGGTAAGCCCTTAACCCTAACCGCGCTGCAATCGGAGGGTGCCACTTCTGCTGCCGCATTCGCTCGTTGAGAACGCAGGGTTTAAGGGTTCAGGATGGGTTAGGGTTTAGGGTTGAGGGTTGAGGGTTGAGGGGTTGAGGGGTTGAGGGTTGAGGGGTTGAGGGTTTAGGGGTCGAGGGCTTTCTCGGGCTTTATAGGGCGTTACAAGGAAGGCATAGGCAGAGGGTGGATGGGATCGGAATGCTAGGATTTTAAATTCTGGGCATGCTTTTGATGTACTTATGTTTGATTATTGTGTTTTTTTTGTATTTGCTTTTCTTTCATGCTTTTTCATTTTTTGGGGGGGGGAGGTGCAGGTTATCATGAGTTCCCCTACTAACTTCCCTCTATAGGG